ATGCAGTCTGCAACCGCAAGGCGTAAAGCAGCCATTAGCAGATACACATCGCGAAATTTCAAATCCCATGCGAGCGGGGCGGCCATGCGGGAAGCGGAAAATCGCGCGATAATCACGCCGGTTGTAGTACGCATTTTCGATCTAATACGAATCTTGATAATTATCGCTAGTTAATGCAAGCATGCACAATGTTTCGCGCGTTACGCGTACTGAAAATCGGAGTTGCAATGCCGTATAGCGGTCTTATTCGAATCTTTGATCATTGTATATTCACTACCAACCCATTGTTCTTCAAAATATTTGGCGTGGATCACATATTCATTTCGATAATTTTATTCTCAATATAATATATATTTTTAATTACGAAATAAATGTGACAAAGTCAGTTCACATAATTCTACACACTATCGTTCATTTTCATCTAAATTTCTTCACGACTAATCTTTTAAAATTTAATAAAAGAAACAGGACGAAAAATTCTCGAAGAGCGTCGATTCGAGCTTTGTAGATAACATCTTCCGCTGATATTCTCATGCATATTTTCCCTCGGCTCTTTCTGCTTTCTCCGTGTGTCGCATGGAGGAAAGAAAAGCGGCTGTTGGTAGATGCATATCTCTCATTGTCTTTGGTCGTTATATATATATATATATATATGAAATTACGGTGTATCCTTTAAATCCTCGGTCGTCGTCGTCATCGTCGTGGACCATGCGGGCCCCCAAGACGCGTTATTAATCGGTCGATGTCAGTGGTTCGACCCCTCATAGAGTACCCATAGGACCCCGTTCGGTAAAAGGGGACAAGCACCGCTTCCCGAGCGAGAAGTATCGACCTGCGCGATGCATGCTTCGGTCGCGTAGCGGTGGAGGGGCGAGGGGAGCGAGAAAGAGAGAGAAAGAGAAGCCTCGAGCAGAGCCGGTGGAACTGCGAGGCGCGGCGGGGCGGGGTGGGCGAACGAAGCCCCAGAAGAATGGGACTCTCTTCGTGCATGACCCAAAGAAACCCCCGCTGAGCGACTCGATCCGATCCGCTGATCCCCGACCGCGCTGACGCAGATACCATCTTTCCTTGCACTCCGAATACTCCTCTCCGGGCGTTTCTTACCGCCCATATACCGCGCTCTCGCGCCGCGTCGAAGGAGTAGAACGACGAGCGACGGAGACCGAGCGAAAGAGAAAGAGAAAGAGAGTATGGCGAAGAAGAGAAAGAGAAAAAGAAGGATGGGATTGTAGCCGAGAGACAGCTATATGATCGCACTGATTTGTCTGCTTATTGTTGCCGTTGCCTCGCTCGTCGCTCGTTGTTCCTCGCTCGCTCGCTCGCTCGCTCGCGACGATGATGCCGTGTGTCGCGGCTCTTATAGACGACGACGACGACGAGAAGAGCGAGAGAGTTCGTATAACACGCGAACTCCAGCCGAAGTTGGAGTCTCGGGAGATCGAGGAAGTTATTCGCGGCTCTCTATATACCCGACGCGGTGATTTCAACGCCGACGCAGAAGACGTCCTTCGCTCCCGTGTGCGAAGCATCGCGTGAAGTTGAATTCTATAGGCTCGATACTAATCGCTTTTCAGATCCGAATCTTTGCTTATTAAAAAAAAACTTGGTTTTTACTTCTTTATGTATAAGTTCTTTTGTTAAGCTTATGTAGTACATAATTTAGAAATGTTTAATTGAGAGATAATTCTCAGATTAGCGACAGGCAACGTTAACGCAATCAAATCCAAGGCTGCACTGTACAGACAGTATGCATTAACTAACTCTAAATTAGCGGACTCTTTCGCGATTATAGTCATACATATAATCTAGACAGAGAGGGAAAATGAGTTAATTAGGATTACTCTCAAGCGGCGTTGATGCAACCGGATCTGAGTGGCGGGTCCGCGAGCAGTAGTTAAGAAGTTGCGGCAGTAAATAATTTCATCCCATTATGACAAATTAGAGTAGCAAATTTAAACAACGCATTGTTCTTTCAATACTGAGAAATGTTCCCAATAATTCATTGTATTGTTAACAAACATTGATTAATATATAATATCATAAAAATAATCAACTTTGAGTTTTAAGAATTTAAAAAATCCTAAACTGTATTATATAATTTTGTGATATGATTAACACGCGTAATGCTGCATACAAAATATGCAGAATAAGTCTATGACACGGTAGTAATTTTATCAAACGATTCGAGATTCAAATGAAATTGATTGATGCCTCTTGCCGGCGCGCGCAACATCCTGATTAGATGAATATTTATTAGCACTCAGTGACGTTTAAAATTAATCGCGAAATTAAAAACCGTTAAATAGCGTACGACCATCCGATCGTGGAGATCGTAACGAAGCGCGTTATTCACGAGGCGCGCAGGCGTTTTCGTTTGCCTGAAATAAGTGTCGGTTAGCTTAACACAGGCATCATGCATGGGTGGCGAACGGTTCACGCAACAATCCGCACCGTTATCGTATCATTACGAGATAAGGCCAATCTTACGGATCGTGTGAACTATGTCGGAAAGTTAAGATACGTCGCGGCCGTTTAACACGGGATTGTCGATAGCCGCTATTAATGACACGGTCGATCCTCCTATAATTACCCGCAACAACGTAGTGGACCCGCTTCGACGGACTTTGCATAAATTTACCTCGTCGAACAGCGCCGGTATACGCTCGCTCTGTGTACACGTGAATACATTAAGTGAACGAGCCCTGGCCCGCGCCCAGCTCGTTATCGACATCTCTTATCGTGTCGATTTTTGGCAGTAATACCACTCCGTGACAGTCATCGACTTAACGTTGCGAAAGATATGAACAAACTATGCGTTTGTCTGACAAAAGATCAAAAACTCTGACAAGCAAGCTACGTAAAATGTATTCGATTAAATTAACTGAGCTTACAATATCATGTTACAATTACTATTCAATCATTAATATGTATGTGAACATTTTGAAAAAATAGATATAATTTTTGCAAAAAAATTCTTATTTGTCCAATTATTTTTTCTAATAAAAAATATAATATTATTAGTTTAAATTGCAATAAAAAATGTTGTAAAGTTTCTATTTTTACATTATTATAATACGGAAATACTCGTGTTTAATTCGTTGTCGCAAAACTGGCCTTTCTCTCGCATTCCGCGCGACTAAAAGTTTCAGAATGGCGTAATCCATTAATAACACACGAACGATATCGATCGAGATCACCTATGAGCGCGACACGCGTCGATCATGCATACGTTACATAAGTTCATCCATCTGGGCAAAGATCGGTGCATCTGGGTTACACGCGATTTATGACGGCGGTAGGCACGAGATCACGGCGATTTATTCTCACTTAATCCGCCTCTCGGTTCTCGACTACGGCGGTTTCTGAGAGTCTCGACTTTTGTTTCGTCATTCCGAAACATTGTGTTTCACCGACGGCGGTATAGGTGCGCCTAGACATTCGAGAGCAATAATCGATGGTAACCACTCCATCAATGACAAGGGGCTCCGACTAATTACTAGGAAGACGGATGCGCGCCTTCGGATCGCCTGTTATATAAGAGCTCCCTACCTGAGAAATGTCCGCGTATTTATTCGTCGGCCGGATTATGTGTACACAAGGATTACCACGAGGTTACACCGGGTGGTCGCATAGGAAAAACAATTTACGCCACTCTTCCGCGAAAGAGAGAGATGATTCACGCGAGATAGTATTTTAATCGAGTTCACCAACACTCACGCACATCGATACACTGGAACGTGTTCATTGACTGCGCGCGACGCAGATATCGGGATTGAAAATACTGTACTATATCCAGATCGTCCAACCACTGACCCTAATTTACGAATTTATACGGTAATTAGAGACGAATTTATGATTTGTCCGGCCCTATGTGTGGCCCTATGTTCTCGTCATTCTTTCGAAACATCGCATATAGGTACACACATTATTATTCTAATATTTTCGTATATTAAAAGTTATTTTTCCATTGTTATTTAATGAACTCTACATTCAAAAATTTATTTAAAATATTTTTTATTTTATAAAATTATATACGAACCTTTTTACTGTGCTTAAAACTCTGAACAAATTCTGTAAATAATGCAGAGAAAATTCAAACGACTTATACGTGAGTGTTCAACAGATATTGTAGCTAAATAAATATAGCGATTGAGTTATTACTTCGATACTGTTATTTCCGCATGTTTCTCAATAGTTTGTTTAATACCCCACTCCCGCATTTCGATATACCGGGTGACTGTAGTGGCATAAGCCTTGGAGATGCTGACGTGACTGAGAATTTAATGAAACGAGACATGCATAAGCGGGATCGAAAAACTAACTTTCTCACGAATCTTCGCATGCATACCGTGACTTCGGCTCTGCAATGGCCTTCGTACGTTTCCTTCGATTTTACACGTAATTACATCCCAGCCGTTAGCCAAATCGTCGCGAATTTCTCGTCATCGAATATGGATCTCCGCCTATTTTAAAATTATTTTCTTGTTTTCTTATCTTACTTACTTATTGTTATAATTATAGCGTAGATTTTTTTCATTGTCAATAAAGGAATTATTATGAAAAAGGAAAATTAATTATTTTTCTTTTTCTATGAAAACATTGCATCAATTATGCAGTAACTAAAAAATCGATACTACTTCATTTGCAATATTCGCTAAAATTTACTGTTTAAGATGTTTTATTTGTAATAATTTCTGCAAAGTGAAAGATACGATAATAAACATTTGTACGACTTGTTTTACATCTTCGAAATTTTGTTTCTTTACGACATATGCCTTTTCTACCGATATAATCCATCTTGCGGATTCTCTCAGGTCGTTTCGTCAAAAACACGAGACTTTCCCATGACAACATTTCCCAAAACATTCCTTCCCGGCCGACAATACCGTCTTTAACGTCGAGTCACACATCGATGACTCAATCATCGGATCCGATCCGACCAGAATGACCGATGACCTCGGCGGCGAGCTACTTCTAATCGTCATATCTTCTTGCCGCAGGTACGCGTGACGGTGCTGGACAAGAACGACGTAGCACCGACGTGGGGCTCAGGCCCATGGAAATTCAAGATTTCCGAGGAGGCACCGCCCAACACCATCATCACGGTGCTCAAGGCCCACGATCCGGACACTATTGGCACTCTGACCTACACTCTGGTGCCGAATCACCATCGTTCCGGCAACCATGTTGACTCTGCAGACAACGACAGCGAGACGCAGAGCCAATTTAAACTACATCCGAGCACCGGCCAGCTGAGACTTGCCGAGGCTCTCGACAGAGAAACGAAGGAGAAGTATGTGCTGAAGGTGCGCGCTGACGATGGCCTGCAGCACCGCGATATCGTGCTTATCATACAGGTGAGAGACTTGTCTGACATAGCGTTACAAAATATTTTTCCTACGTAGAATATAGGGTGTTTTCTAGACCAAATTTTTATACCGAAATGTTCAAGTTTTTAAATGGCAAGTGTATAAAATTGACTAATTAGATTGTCAAAAATTCACGCGCTCAGGCAATGTCGCATATTGATTTTTCTATCCTTTGCGTCTACGAGAAACCTCAGAAAGTTGCTATTGACGGTTAGTGATACGGTTAGTCTACCTTGTATATTTTACATTTATTTTTCAATCTATTCTTTTAATAATATTAAAATGAAACAAATTGATCGATCCAGTCTCGCGAAATTGAAATAAATATAACAAGAATAACTAGAAATACATAAAATGATCCCTCTCTCCGAATGTACAGTAAAATATCGAAAATGGCATTCGTGGCTGCCGGGGGAGCCTGTAAAGATCCAAAAGAGCGATCGATTGTTCTCCGGGTCTCGGAATGCTCGATGCGAATGCGAGAGGTCAAATCGATAATGCAGTAGACACGTCCTCGTGCCGAAAGGTCGTAGATGACTTCCTACTATAACTGTAACCTATTGCTTTATATCGACGATTCCTATTCGTGGTTAAATAATAACTCGATGCTCGTGATGGAATTCGGCCGTCGCTCAAATGACTATAGACTTGGCGACGTCGGCTAATTTCTCCGTGCTTAAAGGATCGTTACGCGAAGTAACGAATCGTCCTGCGGGATGAAGGATCTCGTGCACGAGGATACTCTACGAGAGAGAAAGACGCTAAGTAACCACAACGACGAATTAATTTATGGGTGTACTTATACGGGATATCGTTATTGCTGCGAGACGGCAAGAGCAATTACCGGTCAATTTAAAAGCAATCAATCTCTAACGGAATCGAGTCAGGCAACACGATATGGCGCACAGAAATTTACCTAATCTAAAAGGAGAAAAATGTTCTTTCTAATTGTCCAGAAATATATTTTCCATTCCTTTTCACATCATTTAATTTATGTAGATTCGCGTAAAACTTAATTATGAAAAATTTATGTACTTGCATAAAAAATCTTATAAATGAAAAATAAAAGTGTGAGTCGATTTTTCACAAATATAAAAAAACATTTGAATTAAAATGTGTAACAGTTTTAATTATAAAAATTTATTAAAAATTTGTTATAATTGCATATGAAAAAAATATAACGTGCATTAATAACAGGTTCAATTAACATTAATTAAAAACTAATTAAACAAATTTTGCACTGCGCATTGATTTTCGCGGGCGTGGGTAAGGAGTCGCGACTAGATCTGATATTTTTCAATTAATGGCGGTAATCAGGCGAAAACGCCGGCGGGGCGAGGAAAGCCGAGGTACGTTTATAATGCCGTATGCATAAGTCAGCGCTGTCTATCGTAACGAGCGATCTCGAGCAGAACAATGTTGCGCTATTGCGTATACCCGCGCAGGCATCATTCGGAAGATAAATCTACGATTGCCCGGCGACTCGCCATACGGATTGCTCACATTCGCTTTGCACGTGCATGCAACAATGGCACGCCCGTCCCTCGTCCTAATGAAAAAGATCGAATTCGTTTCTGCGTGATTGCAAAATGCCGCGAAAAAGAATTGCCTATGCGCAGATCGATTGCGTCAGAAAGAGTGAACAAACGAAAGAGAGAAAAAGGGAGAATAAAATATGAAAAATTACGTAGATGTGTAGGAAAAATATTCGAAATTTTTATCGGTGGGACTACGAGAAGAATTCAAATACTTGCATGACGCTTAACAGCTCCCAAGCACATTAAGCAAAAAGTTCGTTCATCTCTTTGCTGGTAAAGTGTTCAAAAATCCCTTCACTAGTGAAACAAAAAAAATAAAATTTTATTAATCTGATATTTTAAGCCGAAAATGTACATATAAAAATTATATTTTGATAAATATGTATTTTTTTAAATCATATCGTTGGAAAATTAATGTCCAGAACAAGGTATAAACATTAGAAATATTTAAATTGAGTCAATCGGAATCAAAATTTCCACATCTTTATTCAATATTCCTAATCCTAAATGCGTTATTACGAGGTAAGCTCAACGGTATCGCGCGCGGAGTATTACGCGTCCCACTTTATAATTCATTACGTAGCTTAGTCGCAGTGATAAAAAAACGCAAGTCCGGTTTGGGGTCCAACCGTTTAACAAAGTCCGCAAAAAGGTTTCCCGACCACTGACACTGGCCGAGCCGCGCCGTCGAAGACAATTGCTAAACTTATCCTTATGATGTGTAATGAAGTTTGTTCTTTATTGCCGAACTTTCTGCACTAGTGTACATTAGTGACACCAAAGCGTACTCTATTGCAGTGCAACGTGCACCAATTCGTTCTTCATTGCAGTGCAACAGAACTCAGTGCAACAGTTTACGGTACTCGTTGCACTGGGTCTTGAGCAAGAACAAGCAGTGCAGGGCAGTGCGAGAATCGGATAAGTTGATAATGATGGGAAATTTAAAAAGTACACATAATCGATTATAAATATTAAAGTAACCTATTTAATATTAAAGTAATTAATAATTCTCTTAAAATTAAATTATAAGCACTGAAATTGTACTAATAATCTAAATTTCAGAAAATCAAGCTGTGATAGTACTAACTTTTATTAAATGTGAAAAGTTTTATCTTTTTAGAGAAGCTAAATGTATATAAAAGTTTTTTATGCTGTAACATAAAATTATACTTATTGTTAAATAATAATAATTGCAAATTTACAGAACAGCTGAAAAATATGTATATATATATGAAAGATTTAATTAAATATTATCTTCAAAGCTTTGTTTCTATCTAAAAATAATATATACTTTGTAAAGAAATAAATATTTCCAACACTTTAAATCGATCTATCAGTTCATATGTTACTATCCTCGATAATCGAAAATGCATAAATCCGATAAAATCCAAATTATCATAATTATGAACAATATTTTCTATTTAATTATTTATTTTGACACGTTCAATCTTTTGTATCATTCCAAAAATTGGATGTAATAATCGCAACTCATCAAAATTAAAAAAAAATTAGTTACTAGCTTAGATTAGATTAAATTTCCAAAAAATTTTAATTTTATCAATGTATAACAATAAATAATAATACATTGCACATAAAATACATATCTTACCACCGTCATCGTGTTTTAAAAGAGGTATAAATGGTGGCATTAGATTTATATTTTCTTCATCCGAAGAATCTAATAATTCATTTAATATTACGCGGTGCGTCATGTTGATCACTGCACTAAAACGTTCTTTATACTTACTGACACTAACTTGTCCCCACCTGCACTATTTCAATTCAGTTCAGTGCAGTGTGAACTCAGTGCAGCAATAAAAAACAAACCTATGGCTGGAATTCTTTTAAAAACTTTGATTTCGCCACGCTCGCGCGTTCTCTATTTTATCCTTAAGGCAGAAAAGAGGAATCGATCATAAGTCGATGGTGCGGTTTCGGAACACCATGAAAGGGGAGCCGTTCTCTGTTAGCTGACAGTTGCGAAATCTGCTCCTTCTGGCCTCTTATATCTGATCCTCTTATCCTGTGCCGTCTCCCTTTCTCTCCCCCTCCCTCTCTCTCCCTCTCTCTCTCTCTCTCTCTCACTCTCTCTCTCTCTCTCTCTCTCTCTCTCTCTCTCTCTCT